CAGGAAAAAACAGCCCCACCCCTGCACATTTTCTGGGAGGGGAGCGGCTCAGCCAGGAGGAGAGAGGGTTGCTCATGGCGCCTGAAACCCAGGTCCTCCCACCGCCCATGGACAAATAAATTTATAAACATATATTAACAAGGGTACAAGTCCATTGGATTAATGCCCAATGCAACAACTTTGAAACTGAGACAGTCGTTAGAATTGTCATGTAGGCAACATTATATTTACAGTGAAAACAGCAACATATGAAGAATCAGATCAGCAATACATCTTTTCTGGAAAAATAAAATGGTTTGAGAAAAATCTGGTCTGAGATTTCTTCTTTTTTTCCCTCAAATTCACCAGCTGTAAACTCTGGCAGGAAGTTCTGGTTGTTGTCAACTTCTAGGCTTCAAACTTGCTCCAGAATTGAGTTTTGTGTGCACATTCGTTTTACAGATTTGGCTTATTCATGGGCAGACTGTTGGTTCCTTGCATCTCAGGCAGATGCACTTTGAAGGAAACTCCTAATTAGTTTACACTTACAACAAGCTTGTTGGGAAGGTAGTGGGTTTGTCCCCCCTCCCCCTTTCCCCAAATAGGGTCCCGGAACTCACATGAGAAGTTTCAGAATTCATTATCATCTTTCTCATTTTTCTTTGACAGTCGCCGTGGTGGAGCTGCTAGACGTTCGTTGCAGATCCAAAGGTCGTGGGGTCGCTCCCTAGCGGAGGTGGACTTTTTTTAAAAATGACCTTGGCTCCCAGGTCAACCCAGCCTTGATTGGGTACTGGGTGCAGTCTCAGGAAGTAAAGGCGGCCAGCATGATGCTGACCACATCACCCATCTTGTGCCGACTGGTCTATAAAAATATAGGTCTAGCCCTATATGCCCTATACGCCTAAAGGCGTGGGAAAAGGTCCTTTGATTTTTTCCTTTACTTTTTTCTACTTATTTTTCTTCTTCTTTAATCTGACACAGAGCATTAGCCCTCAACCAATTCTTCAGTTGCTACTGCTCCCTCCAAGCCTTCCCTATATTATGTATCGAATTCATTCCTCCTATCTAACTGTTCCTCCATGCCTTCCCTATATTATGTATCGAATTCATTCCTCCTATCTAACTGTTCCTCCATGCCTTCCCTATATTATGTATCGAATTCATTCCTCCTATCTAACTGTTCCTCCATGCCTTTCCTATATTATGTATCGAATTCATTCCTCCTATCTAACTGTCCCTCCATGCCTTCCCTATATTATTATCGAATTCATTCCTCCTATCTAACTGTCCCTCCATGCCTTCCCTATATTATGTATCGAATTCATTCCTCCTATCTAACTGTTCCTCCATGCCTTCCCTATATTATGTATCGAATTCATTCCTCCTATCTAACTGTCCCTCCATGCCTTCCCTATATTATGTATCGAATTCATTCCTCCTATCTAACTGTTCCTCCATGCCTTCCCTATATTATGTATCGAATTCATTCCTCCTATCTAACTGTTCCTCCATGCCTTTCCTATATTATGTATCGAATTCATTCCTCCTATCTAACTGTCCCTCCATGCCTTCCCTATATTATGTATCGAATTCATTCCTCCTATCTAACTGTTCCTCCATGCCTTCCCTATATTATGTATCGAATTCATTCCTCCTATCTAACTGTCCCTCCATGCCTTCCCTATATTATGTATCGAATTCATTCCTCCTATCTAACTGTTCCTCCATGCCTTCCCTATATTATGTATCGAATTCATTCCTCCTATCTAACTGTCCCTCCATGCCTTCCCTATATTATGTATCGAATTCATTCCTCCTATCTAACTGTCCCTCCATGCCTTCCCTATATTATGTATCGAATTCATTCCTCCTATCTAACTGTCCCTCCATGCCTTCCCTATATTATGTATCGAATTCATTCCTCCTATCTAACTGTCCCTCCATGCCTTCCCTATATTATGTATCGAATTCATTCCTCCTATCTAACTGTCCCTCCATGCCTTCCCTATATTATGTATCGAATTCATTCCTCCTATCTAACTGTCCCTCCATGCCTTCCCTATATTATGTATCGAATTCATTCCTCCTATCTAACTGTTCCTCCATGCCTTCCCTATATTATGTATCGAATTCATTCCTCCTATCTAACTGTCCCTCCATGCCTTCCCTATATTATGTATCGAATTCATTCCTCCTATCTAACTATTCCTCCATGCCTTCCCTATATTATGTATCGAATTCATTCCTCCCATCTAACTATTCCTCCATGCCTTCCCTATATTATGTATTAAATTCATTCCTCCTATCTAACTGTCCCTCCATGCCTTCCCTATATTATGTATCGAATTCATTCCTCCTATCTAACTGTTCCTCCATGCCTTCCCTATATTATGTATCGAATTCATTCCTCCTATCTAACTGTCCCTCCATGCCTTCCCTATATTATGTATCGAATTCATTCCTCCTATCTAACTGTTCCTCCATGCCTTCCCTATATTATGTATCGAATTCATTCCTCCTATCTAACTGTTCCTCCATGCCTTCCCTATATTATGTATCGAATTCATTCCTCCTATCTAACTGTCCCTCAATGCCTTCCCTATATTATGTATCGAATTCATTCCTCCTATCTAACTGTTCCTCCATGCCTTCCCTATATTATGTATCGAATTCATTCCTCCTATCTAACTGTCCCTCCATGCCTTCCCTATATTATGTATCGAATTCATTCCTCCTATCTAACTGTCCCTCCATGCCTTCCCTATATTATGTATCGAATTCATTCCTCCTATCTAACTGTCCCTCCATGCCTTCCCTATATTATGTATCGAATTCATTCCTCCTATCTAACTGTCCCTCCATGCCTTTCCTATATTATGTATCGAATTCATTCCTCCTATCTAACTGTCCCTCCATGCCTTCCCTATATTATGTATCGAATTCATTCCTCCTATCTAACTGTCCCTCCATGCCTTCCCTATATTATGTATCGAATTCATTCCTCCTATCTAACTGTTCCTCCATGCCTTCCCTATATTATGTATCGAATTCATTCCTCCTATCTAACTGTCCCTCCATGCCTTCCCTATATTATGTATCGAATTCATTCCTCCTATCTAACTATTCCTCCATGCCTTCCCTATATTATGTATCGAATTCATTCCTCCCATCTAACTATTCCTCCATGCCTTCCCTATATTATGTATTAAATTCATTCCTCCTATCTAACTGTCCCTCCATGCCTTCCCTATATTATGTATCGAATTCATTCCTCCTATCTAACTGTTCCTCCATGCCTTCCCTATATTATGTATCGAATTCATTCCTCCTATCTAACTGTCCCTCCATGCCTTCCCTATATTATGTATCGAATTCATTCCTCCTATCTAACTGTTCCTCCATGCCTTCCCTATATTATGTATCGAATTCATTCCTCCTATCTAACTGTTCCTCCATGCCTTCCCTATATTATGCATTTCTGTGTCGAATTCATTCCTCCCGTCTGTTTAAGCCTTTCCTCTATTACTTTTGTTGGGGGTTACAGAAGAAGCATTGTCTAGCTATACTATTACCATGCTTTCTTAATGTTAATTCTAGCAAGAGTGGGTTCCCCTAATCTTTTTCATGTTCATTATTCCACTTTAGCCCTTCTGTTCTGTGCAGGTACCTGTTAATGAATGTCTGTAGTTCATTGGTAACTGATATTACCATGCTTTCCTAATGGGCAACATGTGGTCTCTACAATACTGTCCAGGCTTTGTGCTATGGAGAGGATGAACTTCATTCCTGGCCGTTAATTGGCTAGTCCCACTGGCCACCGCCAAGCATTGTGAGTCTCATGCCTCCTCATAGCATAATATAACACTATCATCTGGAGAGACGGAAAGGTGCCAATCATCATCAATCATTAGCCAGAGTCTTAAAATCCCTAAGCTCAAGAATCCCGCACCCCGTCCTACACCACTATAAAAAATGGTTGTTGTTATCAATCCAGCGGCAAATAAGCTTTCGCCCTCTGACCCAATGCCATGTAGTGGAATTTGCATGTACAAGGTGTTTCACTTGTCTGGTCTCGGAGGGAGTAGCATTCTTCTAGTCTCACTGAGTGTTGGGCACTCAAAGAGATGGTGTTCAACAGTTTTGTAGGGATAGTTACATAGCTGACACTCTGGGGAGTTTTGTGGATGTATTCTGTTTAGATGTCCACTGAGTGAAGTATGTTGCGTTCTAAGTCTGAAGATGGTGGCTTGGTCCCTTCTTGTTAGATGGTTAATGCTGTCATTAGGATCAGGGCCAGACATATGTCTATAAACCTCTCTTCCAGTGTCTCCCATGGCCCATCTGTTCGACCAAGTCTCTTTGTTTATAGCTCTTATAAGTGTTTTTGTTGTCTGAAGGGTTGTCGCTGTAGATGGTTGTTCTTGTGTTGCTCCTTTCTTTGCCAATCTGTCAGCTCTGTCATTACCTGGTGTGCTGGAGTGGCCTTGAATACACAGCATCACTATTCTGATGTTGTATGAGGTAATAAGCTGATCAGCATCCAGGATTATCTTGGCTATGTCAGTTCTGCAGCGTTCACTGCCCTCCAGAGCTTGAAGGGCAGACATTGAATCTGTGAAGATGACAATATTTTGGGCCTTTGAAGGGTAAAACATCCATTACAGTCTTTAGGTGGTATACTGCTGTTTCCAGTGCAATTATTTCAGCTTCATAATTTTCGAAAATTCCCTGCATGCACCAAAAATCTCTTGAAACAACGGATCCATCGGGATAATCTATGTAGATTCCGTAACCTGCTTTAATGGTAGCTTTAAATGCAGATCCATCAGTATAAACATTCTTGGGGGTAAGAATCAATGGTCTTTAGCGATGAGTTTTTAAAGGCGATTGGATCGGACTGTTTGGTTTCTTCATCTACCAACAAATTCATTTAGACTTCTGGAGCTTTAAAGCAAGCATGAGGGGGTTAAAAAAAATGGTAAATAAGAGCAGTGACATTAAAACTGAATTATATATAATTAATCATCGACATAACATCTGACTCTGCCTTTCTTGTCCAGTGTTATCATCTCCCTCTCCCACATATCATTTCTAGACAGCTGTCGGTCATTATTTTCCAGGGCCGTAGCCCCACCACACTGCCCGCTTGTTGGAATGTATACACCACCATACAGTCCCCCATCTGGGAGTCTGCTTGCCGAAGCCGCACCTCCAGCCAACACCTTCTGCTGTGGAGCTGCCTTTGTATCAGATCTGGAATATGAGTTGCTAGAAGTATCTGTCTTAAACATGCGCATAAACTTCGAAGTCAAATTGCTTGAACTTAGCGGCTCTTTGCTCAGACTAGGATTTGAACCCGCATTTTTATCCGCCAAGGTTTTACTTTCACCACCACCACTGTTAGTAACACAACTGTCCTTTAAGAAACTGCTTTTCTCATTAGCGATAGAAAAATCGTGAATCTCCACCATATTGTTTGCCCTTGCTCTGACCTCAAAGTCCTGAGCTGTAAAATCAGGCGGCTGAAAATCGGGTGGACTGGGTGCATCATTACCATGCTGTTCAGAAGCTCTCCGGTTGTTGTCTTCATAGAGGGCAGCACTTAAACTTATGTCTGTTTCAGGGGAAGTCAATCCAGAGTTGAAATTATCTCCCCCTCCATACTGACTCCCACTGTAATCGTCATTATGGCGGACATCATCATCATCAGCAGCAATGTCTTGGGAGAATGGTATAGTCCCGTTCAAGATGTCACGAACCTAGAAATAATAAATACAAAAATATCGTTAGTTACGTATCCTTTACAGGAAGCTGCAGAACCAACCCCAGCAATTTTTGGCTGTTGTGGGTTTTTTTTTTTCTAGGCAACTTTTACGTTCAGTAGTTTGCCACTGCTTCTGAACAGTCACCTCTCTGTAACACTGTTAAAACCAATACTTCCTTACGTCCTTTTTAGGACGTAATTTTTTGTTATTTAAAGCCCCACTCTGGCTTTTGCCAGGGGCCGCAATATAGACAGGCCATCAATATGGCCAATTGTCTGAAGGCGGTTTCTGGGACCTCTCCACGGTGATCCTCATCCGCATGGTGGCACTTTGTGTCATCGGGTGTTTATCGCTTGTGTGATGTCCTGATGGGGTAGAAAGTCAAGTCAAGTCAAGTTAAAACCAATACAAGACAAACTATCCACAGCGGGGATCAAACCCGGCACCCTGGCACTACAAAGCGCGTTCGCAACGCATAAGTCACAGATGCCGACTGGTATATAACGCAGAAATATCACATAATATCCATACTACATAACATATCCGTAAGAATATAACCCTTCTCACTGTTAGCTGCAGGTCCTTTACAGTTTGCAGAACCAACCAGCTTTTTGTGTGTGTGTGGCCATTCATTATTTGTCTAGGCAAATTTACATTCAGTAGTTTGCCACTGCTTTCTTAACAATCATTGTCAATACTGTTGTCGAAATCAACATAAGGCTATCTGCTGCCAAATTGCTTGCAGCTGGAATCGAGTCTGGTATCTGAGAGTTATAATATTGTATATAGTAAAGTAAGTAAAGATCCCTTTTCACGCCTTTAGGCGCATCGGGCATATGGGAAGAGCACCCATTTTTTTACAGACCAATCGGCACTAGGTGGGTAATATGGTCAACATTACGCCGGCCGTCTTTACTTTCCCAGGACAGCCATCCTGGTACCTATTTTAGGCTGAGTCAACCTGCGATGCCCCTTACCACGATAAAAATCTACGCAGCTAGCAGTGGGTTTCTATCACGGTATGTTGGAATTACGAGTCTGACTTGTAAGGCCTAAGCCATGGATGCCGCATAATACCGAATATAATACTGTATATTGGTATTGGTATAATTTCTCTATACCCTGTAAACCCACTTTTGCTGTGGGTGAAATGGGGGAGGGGGTATCATATACTAATAACAGAAGTTGGTTGGTTCAGGATCCTTTGAAAGACAAGAAGTTCTAACTCATGCATTCTCAATCAGTCACCTCAGCTTCAGTCTGATACATTCTCAGTCATCTCAGCTTAGTCTGATACATTCACAACCAGCTTAAGTCTTATACATTCTCAATCAGTCATCTCATCTTAAGTCTGATACATTCTCAATCAGTCATATCAGCTTAGTCTGATACATTCGCAACCAGTCATCTCAGCTTAAGTCTGATACATTCTCAAACAGTCACCTCAGCTTAGTCTGATACATTCTCAATCAGCCACCTCAGCTTAGTCATACATTCTCAACCAGTCATCTCAGCTTAAGTCTGATACATTCTCAATCAGCCACCTCAGCTTAAGTCTGATACATTCTCAACCAGTTATCTCAGCTTAAGACTGATACATTCTCAATCAGCCACCTCAGCTTAGTCTGATACATTCTCAATCAGTCATCTCAGCTTAAGTTTGATACATTCGCAACCAGTCATCTCAGCTTAAGTCTGATACATTCTCAATCAGTCACCTCAGCTTAAGTCTGATACATTCTCAATCAGTCATCTCAGCTTAAGTCTGATACATTCGCAACCAGTCATCTCAGCTTAAGTCTGATACATTCTCAATCAGTCACCTCAGCTTAAGTCTGATACATTCTCAAACAGTCACCTCAGCTTAGTCTGATACATTCTCAATCAGCCACCTCAGCTTAGTCTGATACATTCTCAACCAGTCATCTCAGCTTAAGTCTGATACATTCTCAATCAGCCACCTCAGCTTAAGTCTGATACATTCTCAACCAGTTATCTCAGCTTAAGACTGATACATTCTCAATCAGCCACCTCAGCTTAGTCTGATACATTCTCAATCAGTCATCTCAGCTTAAGTTTGATACATTCGCAACCAGTCATCTCAGCTTAAGTCTGATACATTCTCAATCAGTCACCTCAGCTTA